TATATATATATATATATATATATATATAATTGTCCTTTAATGAGATAGTCACTTCCATTCACATTTAAGAAAGTAGAGTCCAATTTCATTTGAATTAAGATATATATTAGTCACGAGACATCTTGCTTGTCAATAATAATAATCAAATTTTAATAAATTAAGGTCATTTGAAAAACCATTTGAATTAAAATAATAAACACTAATAATGAAAATAATTTTTCTATCGTCCGATTGTAAATCACCTTTACGAACCAGAGTACCTTCGAGTGAGATGTAAAAGTTCACACAAGGGATGTATATTCTTATGGCCAGAACCACTTTTTTTATTTTTTCTATTTTAAGTTTAGTCATAATTAACATGTAAAGTGATGATATCTGTCTAATTGATTATTATTGTACCAAAGATATCTATACCTCGATAAGTCAGAATAATTTGTTAAATGTATAGAGATCACCGAAGTATATATTTATTCTTTCAACGAGATCTTTTCCATACTCAATCATATCCCTAACGTGTTTAAAAAACTCAGTCATCTCCCTATTACATGTCTTTGTTGCTAACTAATTGATAATTCACTACTGAAATGTCTTCTTGGAGTGTCTATTTCATAGTTAAATGCTTGACATTTGGAAATTCAGATTAGTTCCCGGTATTCATTTATCTAATAAAAGTACACAGACTAATTCAAAAATCAAGAACGAAAATAGCTCGCAAAATATTTTTTAGTATCAAATTGGAATCTGGTACCGAGTGTGCATAAGTGGTTGTAATCCCATGCACTGTTTTCGATTCTTATTGATAAAAAAAAATTGGAACCTAACACTGGTTTTTGAACAATTTTTTTTCTGAAAGCCAAAATCCACTAATTTCAGAATTTGATCTATTCAATGCAATAACAAACTATAATCCCCTATGTTTCCACCTTCTAATCAAAGTTATTACCAGTTAAAATAACTTGTGCAACACATCTTGATATAATAAATAATGATAAAGAAATCTGAACAGTTATAGTGACCAACTTAATTTTGCAAGCAAAATAAAGATCATAAAACAGCTCCTACGATACTTGATATTGCTAGGGGTCAAGCATATCCTCCATTACAACCGGTGAACCTCAAAAATGAAATCCCTTTCATGCTCAATAAAAAATAAACTAGTAGAAGAAGCCCAGGACCTTACCACCAACATTCTTTCTCCTAGCCTCTTCATGATCCATGATGCCAGCCGAGGTAGTCAATACAATATACCCAAACTGCATAATTAGTGCAAATCAAAATGTAAGAGATACGTGGAGGAACGATTCATGTTCAACATAAAAGAGTAATCAATAATTAATCAATACAATATACCCAAACTCCATAACCAGTGTAAATCAAAAGCTAGGGGATAAGAGGAGGAACCATTCATATTCAAAAGAATGGGGGAAACAATCACATATATATAGTTCCATGGTTGATCTGGTGGTGGCGAGTTAAACCACTACAAATAAATCAACTTTCCTATATAATCAATCAAAGGTCTGACCAAGCTAAATAAACACTTACATAAAAATTTCAAAACTTTAAAGTAAAATAATCGGCACAATGCCACAATCAACCCTTTTATGGAATAAGCTCTCACTCCATGGAACTATACAATCATAAGAACAGAGCACAGAGAAAAGCATGAAACAAAAGGAAAGAATGCACTTAAGCTGACCTGTCTTGAGGGGAGAAGCCTAGCAGTCCAACCTTCAATCTCTTTGACACCCACGTCAAAACGGGGACTAATAACCCCACACTTGTTCAATCTACCATTCAATTCAACAACGATTTTACCAGCCCTGTGGTCATCAACATACTCAAACTCTCCAATGTAACCTACATTTTAAGAGGCAAAACACACGACAATTCAACACAGAGACTAAATATTTAACCAGAAAAAACTTTGATTACCGAGGGATACCATGCTTTTGCATCACCAAAAGGAATTTGATAATGACTTTGGAGGATGGCCTAATCATGACTTGGCGCTTCCCTCTTTTCTCAGCATTGTACATGCTCTTGAGAGCATCATTCAACACACTAACCCTAACCATTGTGGCTGAAACGCAAATTTCAATAAGAATCAATAAACTATATCGCGCAAATAAATCAGATTCTAATTGAACCACATTTTACGAAGCGAGAGAATAATATTATTCTTACCAACACAGAAGAGAAGAGATGCTAAGGAAACGGCGGCTCCGGTGCTTTTCCGTCAAGAACTGAACAACCTATAATAATGAAAACACAGAAACAAGAAACTCAGACTTATTTAGGGTTTAGTTCAGGAACTTCAAGCATTTTGGGCCTTGTTTAGGAACTTCAAGCCTTTTGGGCCTTATATCGTACAGTTTTAGTATAAGTTGATACATTCCATTTTTATCAAAATAAAATAAAATTATTATAAATTGAAATTACCAACAAAAAAAAAAAAGAATGATATTGGTTAAAATTTAGGTTAAATTATATTTTTGGTTTCTCTATAATTTTAATCCCAAATTTTATAAAATTTATAATTTTGGTCTTCTTGTTGAATATTCATTCATTGATTGTTAAATTTGTAACAATGAACATGACCTAATATTAAGTAAATGATATAATAATTAATATTTAGACTAAACTGTACTTTTGATTTTCATTTTTATCTTATTTTCATCTCATTTTACAATATTTATTAGATAAAAAAATGAACTAAAAATAAAATTTTAGCATAAATAATATTAAATATTAATTGTTAATGTCAAATTATGATAAACATTCAAATTTTAAAGATCAACAAAAAAATATTTTGCGAATGAATCAAAATTATAGATTTTATAAAATTAAATAACTAAAATATTGGATTTAAAAAATTTGGAACAAAAACTCAGATTAAACATTATAGAGGATAAAAAATGTAATTTAACCTAAAATTTAAATATGACTCTAAAATATTTTTTTGTCCGTAATGTTTAGTGCTCAAGGTCTCAAGTTAATATTAATATTTTATTTAAATTAAATATTTTAATGTATTTTTTAAAAATTAGTGAAAGTTATTTTACATCTTAAATTAAAAAGTTACATTTTAATTAATAATATACTCTTATTATAGTTATATATAAGAGAAAATGTTAAAATACAAATTTTATAATATATATTATAAATCATTTTATACATTATAATATATAATTTATATAAAATAATACTTATTATATTTAATTTTATTTTTTAAAATATAATGTAATATATGATATAATATAATATATTTAGACAAAGGGAAAGACAAAAACTTATTTTATTTTAGAGCTTTCTAACATAATTTTTTTCTTAGAAAAAATATATACTAGACCAGTAGAATATGATTGGAATATAATAAGATTACCATATTTTGTTGATGCAACAAATAAAAAATTATTATAAGATAAGATAATTATCATTTATTCTATTATATTCTATCATATCATGACCACTAAAGTAATCATAAAATATTAAGATAATGTAATTATATTTGTAATATAAGACAATTACTATATAGGAGAGAATAGTTTGGGTCTTCCAATTGTCTCCTAAATTTTAGGGACTTTTAGACATGTGTTAGATGTTCCACTTGTATCTTTTGGGCTAAGTTTATTATTTATTATTGTGTTGGATCGAGTTTGATCCAAAACACTAATCTCCTGTGTCAGTAGCTTATAGTCACGTATCATGAAGCATTAACTTGTCGACATGGATTATAAAGTAGGTTGATCTCATTAGTTAGTGTTGATACTTGATAGAATAAACCGTGGTAGGTGGTAAGTTTCTAAAACAAGCTAAATAATATACAACTCAAATTGAATATAATAAAAAGTTTAATGTGATATTAATTAATGTATATTTTTTTCAGTATATTAATTAAATTATTCAATTCCTTTAGAGTGAAAAGACTGTATTTTAGAAAATAAAATATAATAATGATCATCAATAATTTAAACTAATTAACTTTAAATTTATTATTAATAATAATACCCTATTAATATGAGCATAACAAACTATCTTTCATCTCAAACCACACCCTATTCATTTTCTCTCCATAACAATGAAAGAATGTGCATCAATTATGAATTGGAGCACGGAAGATAATGTTACAGATACAACAGGCAGAAGAGCATAACAAAAATGAAAGAGTTCCTCCCCTGCCCCCCGACTGTTCCAGCAAAAACTTCTGATCTGGAACTGGAAGTAATTAAATCAATTGCATCTAAATAATGAAGTTTCTCCATGTCCACAAATATTCAATGTTGCATCTGTCAGCATTGAGTCATAATCTCAGCCCCATCAGGGGTTATCAGAATGGTGTGTTCAAACTGTGCTGAAAGGCTTCCATCTTCCGTTACAACTGTCCAGTTGTCATTCCACATCACAGGATTGATGCTGCCAATAGTCAGCATTGGTTCTGTAAAATTTACCAGCTACTGTTAGTCATACACATGTCATATGTATATAATGCATTACCAAATTAAGACATCTGTTTACACATTACATTAGCAGGTTGAATGAAAATGAAATTTTACAGTTCAATTGTATATAGCACCCTAAATATGAAATTGACCTGATAGTCAATCTGTGAGCCTTGATTTTTTGAAAATCATTCTCCATCAGAGTTTTCTCTTATAAATATTGTCATGATTAAGGTGTGGGTCGCTGAGACGTGCTTTATCTTGAAGCACGGACATGTAAAAAGAAGGAAAAGATAAACAGTATGCACGTCACTTCCTCACTTAAACATTATCAACCACTGACTTAGTTACAAAAGGTTTAAGCAGGTAAGATAACACTAAGCGTATGCTTGGAGCTTGGTTTAGCTGGGATAGTGAAAGAGGGATGGGAAAATCTGGGACAAAAATCACTTTGTATGTGTTTGCAATAGAAGAACATGTGGTTGGAAGTTGAATGTTACGAGCTCAATTTCACTTTGGGTCCACAATTTCTGGTCACTCGTCCTATGATGTGAAAATGCTCTGAAAACAAGACAGTGCTTTAACTAGTCTATTCATCAATGTCTACAATCCTTACCGACAGAGTAAATTAGTCATTTCTATTTTCTCTACCAAAGCCATAAGGGGTCAAAACCAAAAGCTTTCCATCTCACCCCTTGTTCACTTCCCTCTATTCCTTCCACGTCAATATATCTCCACCTTCTCCACAAGGCAGTCAAAAACAGCAACACTCAATTAATTTTATATGGATTCAATGTTTCTTCAAGCTAAACAAGAAGGGGAATTTCCAGTGAGAGGGGAAATGGGGGGCGAGATGATGAATGTCGATATTTTGCTAATTTTGAATTGTGTTATTGGGAATGAATATGAATTGTATAATTTTTTTTACACATCTAAATATTATTTTGAAATTTTGATACTCTTGCCATACCTATAATTTTTTTAACATGTTGCACTGACATATCATAAAGGATACTAGAACCCCATGCAACATAACCAAGGGGCAAAGACATACACAGTTTCCAATTCCTAAAACAACCAATCAAGAGAGTTCATGACATTCTATATTATTCAAACTAAAATTACCAATTGTAAAGGTTTGATTTAGCATCATTCGTCCACCTTCATTGTTTCCTGCATGTAATAATAGTAATTGTTACAAACTCCAGTTATTAGATATGCTGACAGAAACATTAAACTTTTTAAATATAAAAACAAGAGTGGCATAAAAAACATTTGAAACACTAATAATCCCATGATCAAACAAGTAATTCAAAACTGAACAGCTAAATTAAGTAATACTCGCAGACAGTTATGGAAGTTATGTGAAAGTTAACAAGGACCTTCTGTTTTTTCTGCTTTGGCATATTGTTTTATAGATGGGATGAGAACAAAATGAAAATAAAATATGATTTATTAGTTAAAATTGTTTAGACTAAAGCATTTTTTTGTAGAAAAAGAATAATTTCTGAATTATTCAACTCATTAATCAACACAGAATACTATTTAATAAATCCTAAATTTAAACTCCTAAAGAATGATGATTGACTTAATTTTAACAGACACACCGACTTCAATATTCCTTAAGCCATAATATATAATTCACTAAACTAAGCACAGGCTTGTTGCTTGTATAGAATTGATGTAGAACTAATAATGACAGAACTGGATAGTTTAAGCTAATTACTGTAGTGAAGAATGACTGGATCAGCATGAAAAACACGTCCAACTCCATGGCCAACAAACTGCCGGACAACACCATAACGATATTTATCCGCATGATCACTAAAAAAAGAAGATAACAATTATGAATCAGTAATTCATTATATAATCAATAATCAAAACTCATTTGAATTACAGTCATCAACTACTAGCTCATATTAATATGAACAAGGAAATTGCTTAGATACTGCTTTGTAACGTTTGAATCATTTAATACACTTGCTTACTAATCTACGTAACTTCTAATAAAAAAATTGATCTTTGGAAATTAAAATTAATAAAAAATCTAAAACTAAATTACCCAAAAATATATATAAAATCATTTATATTATTTATTTTTTTGTAAAGACCACATGTATTTAACGCAACTCTCTCTACTTGAGCCAGTTAAGATCACTATAGGTGGTAAAACTCTCCTTTTCAAATATTACACATAATTGTATAGCCAACAATTAAACTTAAGGTCACTTGTTAAGTTGAAACAATTTCAAGGCAATTATTTCATACACTCAATGTTTCATTTTACATTTATCAACTACTTTAACTAATTTTACCAAATACATCTAATATAATAAGCTAGTTTATAAGCTTTTAGCCAATAGCTTATCAGCTAGTTTTGTTACACACAGTCATTATTGAAACTAAAAATATTTTAGTGGAAAAAGTGGTTCATTAGGAACCAAAAAGGTTCATGACAGCTTCAAATGTACCAGATTAAGGGTCATCAGTCTAAAGCAATGTAACAGTTATTTATTACACCTGATCTTATTGCCAGAGGGTTTCTGGCTTTCAGCAATATAGGGGAAATGTGGGAACAAGAGAGAGAAGAACAATTGGGGAAGGGGGGCATCTTACTGAATTGTTTTTCCAATTTTCTTGAATTCCACTCCCGGTGCACATATTGATATTGCTTTATCTAGGCATTCCTTAGTTACCTGTGTCAATATATGAACCCACTCCTATTAAGCACAAAACAAATGACGAGGACAATGTCTTGATTCTCAACAGAAACACTTCACAAAAACAAAATCACATAAGAAACTTCTAGAACAGTATTTCAACTAGAAGCATAACAAAAATAAGTGGTAAAAGGAAAGTATAAATAAAATTCATAATAGTTGACAAAATTAGATAATGAACTTTATGGGGATCTACCACATAAAAGAGTAGGTAGCACATCATCATGAGACCAGACAATACAAAACCATAAACAAATAACAGGGATATTCTTCCTTATGCATCCTGAATACAAGAACAACAAAAGCCTTATACTACCAGGTGAGTTAATAGAATATATTCTACTGGATAATATGCATCCTGAATAATATAAAAAATTTAGGCAAAACACCTAATTTGGTCCCTTATAATAATTAATAGTTTCAATTTCGTCCCTCAATAATTTTGTTTCAATTTAGTCCCCAATAATTTAAAAAATGTCAATGTGAGACTTTCCGTCCAAATTCCACAAACGGCATTAAATGTGATGACGTGGATGTCACGTAAATGCATAGGTGGCATGCCTCCTCTCCCCCTTCTTTAATGATCTGGAACATCCCATTCTAAAACCAGAACGGCCCGTTCCACTTGCATTCCTTGTGTGTTAATTTTGTATCTAGAACGGGTCGTTCCAGATTAAAAAAAAACACACAAAGAATGCAAGCGGAACTGGTTGTTCTGGTTTTAGAACGGGTCGTTCCAGATCCAAGGATTGTTCTTGAACAAGGTTATCAGTAAGGTTATACGGCGGGTGGCGGCAAGGACCTTTAAGTGCCATATTGCCATGGCGGTCTATGGCGGACATCATGGCAGACAAAAAAAAAGGATATATATATATATATATATATATATATATATATATAATATGATGCAAAAACAGAAAAATAACAAACACATAGTCACATATTAAAACCAACAATATAACAATCTAAAATTCATGGCATTTATAATCTAGTAATAGTCATCATAAAGAAATGGGGCAGAACTGCATGTAGAAGGAGAAGGAATGGGGCAGAACTGCACGTGGAGGGAAAAGGAGTGGTCACACGCGGAGGAGCAACGGTGGCGCGCGGAGGAGCAGCAGTACCACGCGGAGGAGTAACAATTGCTGTGGAGGAAGAACTACCAGTCTCGCGGAGGGAGAAGAGAAGAACCCGTCACCCGCAGTGGTGGTTGCGTTGGAGGTGCTGGCAACAACTCTCTTCGGCGACGGCAGCACGTTGGTCGTGCACGGAGGGAAAAAACTAGAAACGGCTGAAACGCATGCTCGGAAGGAGAAGAATCGCATGCGCGGCGGTTCTCGTCGTCGGAGGCGGCGGCGGCAGCGGTGGTGGCAGACGGTCTCGTCGGACGCGGTGGTTCCAGCGAGTGTGCATCGTGCACGGAGGAGGAGAATCAGACCTTCAACTTAGGGTTCCTTTGGCACGCGCGGCTACCCTATTTTGCAACATAATGGATCCCCCAACCCGGAATAAACCCGGGCCCAAACCCGGAAAAAAATAAAATAAAAAAAAAACAGCCCATAACGGTGCCATGACCGCCATGGATGCCATCCACCGCCACGCCATTTACCGCCGTGGCGCCGCCATACTCAAAA